ACACACACACACACACACATACAGACAAATTAGCGCTTTATTATAAGTAATGATTGCTAAACAGATAAAAATTTGGCAAGGTTGTTCCCAAAACGTGTTATAAATATTTACATTCAATTTTGTATGAACGCTACTTGTCCACAGAAGGCCATCGAATGATATATTCAATTATTCAAGAATTCGAGTATTCAAGTTTTGAATAGTGGAGAATCAAACAATCAAAAATTCTTATTTCCGAGTTTTCCGGTATTATATTTTAAATTCTAAATTGCAGTGTATAGTACACTTCTGTAGTTCAAAAATAGACTTGCCGACTGTCTTTGCAAATTATTATGCCGTGACTACTTTCTACACTCAACAAACTTTTTTAAAACTTATATTCTATCTTCCTCTGAAAAGGTCCGCCTCTTTCAGTTAAAATCTAGTAAAAATGATAGAAGCGCAGTTATACAACACCTAAACAAAATTTGGTCTTATAGGTACATCGTTTGCAACTTTTGGGCTTCTGAGCTTAACTATTACAGAGTGCTGTGGCTCAAATACTCGGACCTGCTCTACAACGTAATACACTCCATCAACACGATGAGTTCGACGAATCCGCAATAACTGTTGAGAATGCTCAGCATCTTCGTCTTCTCTATCAGATTCGTGAAGTTCTTCAACGACGCAACACTTTATATCATACTGTCAATGCTATGGTTGACTTGCCTCGTACATCTAGTGCCGTGACCCTTTCCGCGTCGATTCAACCACAGCATCAGGATCCCGCTTGCTCAACGAAAGCTGCCATTTGCTCTAAACAGTGCGAAAATTGTAAAAACAATCAGCAAAAGCTCATATATCTCGCAAATTTAATGGAAAATATACGTATCGGACAGAGCAATTTGAACAAATTAGTCTCCCAACATGAAGGCGGATCCGACGTCCACAAAGTTTCTAGAACATCATCCAATAATACTAGCACAACTCAGCCGGCCACCCAAAGAGTTGCGGTGCGTACTTCAAAAACAACGGTAAGTTGAGGATAAACATCTCAGCAACATCTTATGTTAACACTGCTTTGATTACAAGCTACTGAAATTACTGAAAACGCTATCATCATCATCACTAATTCGTTAATATTGTCCATTCCCAGCTTTGTTTTGCAGTTTAGCGCACCTCAGATGAATATTTCAGTGCGGGGTGTATTGAACGAGGTGTTTTTCTACATGAAAATTCAAAAATATAAAAGGACTAAAATTTGAGTCTGTTGAAACGAAAAAATGTGTTATCGGATATGAAGGTCTTTCAAACATATGAAACCCATATTACCGATGGCTTATATTAGGCAAACGCTAAAATTTTAAATCTTCTCATCATGTAGCCTGGAAATTAT